CCTTGTTCTTCCTTGTTTTCGTTGCTGTTCTTCTTGTTAAATAGGTGAGTGCATGACCAGGCTTATCTAAGCATGTTTGATCATTGTTTTAGGGTTTTGATGATTGTTTGATTGATTTCCTTTGCTTGTTTGGCTGTTTATTTGATGATTGATGCCTGTGGAATCCTTTGGAGACTCGTTCTTATCGTGGTGGTCTTTTGGAGAAGAGATCCAGTGAGAAACGCAGTTGGAGCGTCTGCAGAGAGTCGGTGTCGATCGACACCAAGGGTGGGTGTCGCTCGACACCAACGTTTCATCGCGCGAGGATAACTGCGTCTTACGATTGGAGTGTCGAGACCGGTGTCGTCCGCGAGGGTCGACAGCGAGTGTCGATCGACACCAGTGGAGGGTGTCGTTCGACACCGATAGTCAGAAGCGATTCTGGTCTATCTTTTATTGGTTGTTTGGTTCTTTTCCTTGGATAATGGTTGAATGTGCTTGTGTGTATAGCCAGTGGTGGTATGATTGCCTCACTAAGTATTTATGAAATACTTATGCATCTCTTTCTTTGATGCAGGTAAAAGCAAAGTGTGATCCGTGGAATCATGGCGAGGAGAGGAGGATGATCTAGGCGCTCATTGGTGTTTAGATGATTGTAAGATTTGTTAGGATGCTAGAATGGAATTTAGAAGCATGTTAGGATGAATTCGTTTCTGGAATATTGATAGTTGAACTTGTTGGATTAATGGAATGGTTTGATTGGATTTTTGTTTAAGTCTTCCGCTGGTTACGTTGAGTTGGTTGTGTTAGTAAAATTGTATGGGTTGCTTTAAAGTGGTTAATCCGGATTGTTTGCATGCTTAAAAAAAAAAAAAATGGGATGGGTTCTTTCATATACACATATCTTAACATACGTAGATAAGTCAAAAGAGTCACATATGTATGTTAGCAAACGGTTATTTAAATGACTAAATCATTTGAATAAGCCAAAAAAAGTATACATATGTTGACTATAAATCACCCATGACCCTTTCTCGTTTTAAACTTCTTCTTTTTTTATTATCATTTTATACACTAGTTTATATCATTTGGATAACTACACAATTCCAAAATATAATCTCTTAATAATTTTAAGTTTTCATTTGGTTTACGAGGGAAATAGAAGAATATTCCCTACCTTTTCCCGCTTGTGTTTTCTTTTTGATAATATTTAGAAGATTTGGCTAAATCCAAAATTATTCAGTATCAAAGATACGATTATTTTTTTACTTTTTCTTATATATACTTAGTTACTTTTATCAATATAGTACGTTCACAAGAAACATTCCTTCTCCAAAGGTAAAACACAATTTTGTCATAGAATCTTATTAGCGATACAGTTTTTGTTGTTAATTTTTATAAGCTTTTGTTTAGTATTGACTATAATGTTTACTATAATGTTTACTATAATGTTTTTGTTTATATTTTATAGAAAGAAAAGACTGGAGGCAACAAATGGTCGTGTGTTTGGTCTAGGAGCTCTTTTCAGTGAACTCTTCGTTAAGGGTGGAGTGTCAACTATCTTTGAAAATCATGTGGAAAATGAGGAGGTTTTTAAACAAAAATTAGAGGAGATTTATCAAGAGAATGAGGAAATCAAAGAGAGGATCAACAAGCTCGAAGGGTTGGAGAAAATGATCCACATATTGATCACTCATCTATCCACTGCTCGTGCTAACAACTAAGTGCTTACTTAGTTGTTTTATTTATGCTTATTAAGTTTTTATCATGGATTTTAATTTTTAAGGATCGTTGGCTTTTCTACTGGTTTTAAATTTATGCATTGCTGGAATAATTATTTGATTATTTAAATAAAATAAGTTATTTTTATTATTATTATGAGAATATATATTAAATAAATATTTATAAATTAATAATTTATGTGCCGAAAAAACATAATATAGTTTCTATAATTAATGTTGCAAAAAGAATTGCAATCAAAAAAATATGCAATGAAATTATGCCTATATATTTGTCGTAAAAATGCGACGAATATAAATTGTAGTGAAATTTTTGCAACATTTTCTTATTCCATCATGTCATAAAATATGTGCAACGACTACATATGAAAAAATAATTACTACAAATTTGCAACATTATTTTTTTATATTATACGTAGCTTTTCTTTATGACAATTTATAGTTGCACTAAAACGTCGCAATTATACAACCATTTTTCTGCATAATTATTGTTGCAATAATACAACACATATAGCAATAAATGTCTTCATGGTAAATTTGCAATGAAATTTGCTATATGTTTTATGTCGCAATAAGTTGTAACAATTTAAAGTTGCAAATATATGTCATAATTTTACAACAAAGTTACTACAATAATTTTGTTGCGATAATGCGACATAATAGCAAGAAGTCAATTCATTGTAAATTTTGTGACATATATGCAACAAATGTGAGTTTGCAACACTCAAATAGCAACAATACAAAATGTGTCTCAATTTTGTTGCAACCTAATGATTTGCAACGGTATTTTGAATTATTGTAACAATTTTCGGTGTTGCAAGATCACTCTTTTTTTGTAGTGCAAGGCTTCCAACCAATGCGCGATCTGATATTTTCTAGACGTACTAGAAACTGATTCCGCGAGCTTCCAGAAGTTTCTACCAAACTCACTGCTACATTTCGGGTTTCTAGCATCTTTTGCCTTCACCTTGTAAAAGATTGGTATGACTAGGAGATTTCCTTGATCAACAAGTTTCTTCATCTTGACTAGCTCATCCATGCACCATCTGGAGTCTGGATACCTATAATTATTACAGTGGTTGTGATTCTTCATCAATCTTATGTGTGGAGTTGATAAATAATTAACGTCTGAAGTAGACATTGAGAACGAGGAAGAATAGTATACAAACCTAGTAGAGAAGATGGCCAGTGCAATGCTCGACTCTTCGATTCTGACAAATAGATTCTTTAGGTCTTGTCCTTTCTTAACGTCTTTGTCAATGAAGAATTTAATCTCGTTCCTCTGGAAGGCATCGCTGAGGTGGCTAACAAAGTTGTACCGTAGTTGCTGTCCTCGGAAACTAAAGAACACTTGATCGACCTTACCTGATACCGCAATTTTCATCGGATATGGATATGAAACGGTCGATGGAGAACTGTAATGTGTTGCGCGGCGGCCAGCTCTGAATGAAACGTTGTTTCTTCTCATTGCTTCCCATGTATCTGTTCTTTGTCTTTACCAATTCAGCTTTCTGAGAGCTGAGACCTACCGGCAAATGTAACTTGTTACACAATTTAGCTTCGGATGTCCATTTCCCTAGAGAAGGCTCTTTGAGAATACTGTTACATAACCAACAAAAGACCATTTCGATTCTAACTGAGTCGCAAATCGAACAAGCCACATACCAAGAAAACAAAAGACCAAAAAAAAAAAGAAAAAAAAAAGAGAGACAATTTATAAGATATACCTAGAAGGATTGAGCACTTTTGAGATTGCCAAGTGAGCCTTCTGATCCTGATCAAAGAAATATGTGCATGAGAATTGTTTTCTTGATAATATAATAAGAGAGATTACGGTATCAAGTAGGAACTGTGTGAAAAATCAACAAAAACAACAACGTGATTGAGTTTCTAATATTTTGGTTTTGTGCAGTAATCGTAATCATTTATAACCGTTTAATTTTCCTTTATATCATTAGACGTATGCTTTTAATTAAGTTTGGAACAATACTTGGGTTTTTCTTGTTCACCCTCTATTGATTAGCTAATTAAAATAAAACAATATGTCATGTCATACTATATTTAAATAAAAAATAAAAAAATTAATAAACTTTAATCGCTCTTTTATACATCTAAACCGAAATACAATTTTGTTTAATTACAAAATCTAAACTCTAACCCTTATTTTATCACCCAAATCAAAATATAATTTCGTCTAACTAGAAAATATAAACTCTAACCACTATTTTGTCAACACAAACCGAAATATAATTTTGTTTAATTACAAAATTTAAACCCTAACCACTATTTTGTCAACTCAGATCGAAATATAATTTCGTTTAATTACACAGTCTAAACTCTAACCACGAATTTGTCAACCCAAACCGAATAATTTCGTCTAATTACAAAAAATAAGTGCACTTTGGTGACATATGAGACTAAATTAATTCATTTAAGCCTCTCAGCAAACCATGATCCCACAACTCTTCCCCACTAACAGACTATAACGCGCACAAAGACTGTCACCCCCTAACCATGTGAGCCCACTGCTCCACACTTGTATGGGTTCAGCTCTGATACCACTTGTAACGTCCCGACCGTCACCTCTCCTAGTGGGCCCATGTTCACTCTTAGCCTATGGGTTCACCTCTCTTAATAGACCCCACGTCCTCTCACTAGGCCCATGTGCTCATCCATATCTTATGGCCGGTGTGCCACATGATCTTTCTATATCGTTTGACCTCATTTATACAATTCCGACAATCACTTCCTATAAGGTCACCCATCCTGAGACTACTCAAGCATAAATACGCTTAAATGTGGAGTTATCTTAGAAGCTTTGACCAAAAAGATAAGTGCACTTTTATGATATAGCTAGGTGGCTAAATCAATTCATTTAATCCTCTCTGCAAACCATGATCCCACAATAAAATCTGAAGTTAATAAAAATCTAGTTTTTTCTTTCATAAATTTTTATTTGAATCTTTTAAAATGAGCATATATCTATCAATTAATATAAAAATGTGCATTTAACAATCCACATCGAGTAAAATGTTTTGGAGAATGGTTCAAAGTTAAAATATCATTAATCTGATACAAGGGTTAAATTAATATTTTATTATAGTTATTAATAAATTAAGATATGTTAAATCAAAATCATTTAATAAAGATTACGTTTACTCCATCTTGATAGTTGTTTTTAAAAAAACTTCAACAAAATTTGTAAGTTCTGAAATAATAAAATTTAAACATAAAAAGTTTATCCGGCGGTATACTCGTCTTAAAATAATGAAATCTTAACTTCGGTTACGAAATGGAAATCAAAGTCAGAGGCTTGCATCAAGAACATAAAATGAGAAAGAGAAATTCAAAGTCAGAGGCTTGCATCAAGAACATAAAATGAGAAAGAGAAATTCAAAGTCAGAACCTTTCGTAATTTGCATGATCAAGATCCAACTAATTTATGTAATACCCCAACCACCATCTTTTCAGTGGGGCCCAAGTTCACCAACAACCCATGGGTCCACCTTTTTTAATAGGTTTCGCGTCCTCTCACTAGGTACATGAGTTTATCAATATGCGACGGCCGGTTTGCTATGTTCAAGAGGCTTAATGACTTTTTATCGACCCTACAAATCACTACATGATCTTTTCCTGTGTTTTGGCCTCACTCACACAGTTCCGATAACCACTTCTTGGAAGGTCACCCATCATTTGACTACTCCAGCATAAGCACGCTGGAAGTTTTCTTAAGATCTTTGACCGAAAAGATAAGTGCACTATGGTAACATATGTGGCCAAATCAATTCATTTAAACCTCTCTGCAAAACAAGGTCTCACAATTCTCCCCCATTAATAGGCCGCGACGTCCTCGTTGTGCACTAAGACTGTCACCCCCTCACAGTGTGAGTTCACTACTCCACAATTTTCTGGGTTCGGCTCTGATACCACTTGTAACGTCCCGACAGCTATTTCTCCAGTGGGTCATATGTTCACCACCAGTTCATGGACCCACCTCTCTTAATGGGCCTCACGTCCTCCCCATCAATATATGATGGCCGGTTTGCTACGTCAGGGAGGCTTAATGGCTTGTTTAGCGATCCTACAAATCACCATATGATATTTTCCTATGTTTCGGCTTCACTCACACAGTTCCGACAAGCGTTTCCCGAAAGGTCACCCATCCTTTGATTATTCCAGCATAAACACGTTTTAACTGTAGAGCTTTCTGAACCTTTACCGAAAAGATAAATGCACTTTGATGACATAAATAGACTAATCATTTCGTTTAAATCTCTCCGGAAACCGGTGTCTCACAATTTCCCATAATATCACATCAATAAATTCAAAATTTCTTACAAGCCGAAGTCTTTTAATTTAAAAGTTAAAACAAAAGTAATATATATATCTACCTGAACACCATGCTCAAATGGGGGCATAGTTCCAGCATTGGTGTTTACATAAGGATCTGAAAGATTTGAGAGTGCTCCGTTAAAAATTAAAGGAGAAAGTAACATCGTTTGAATTGTCTCAAAGAGAGAGACTCGATCGAAGAGAATAATAGAGAAGTAAATTAAAAAGTAGAATGCATACCGATTTTGATTGAAGTAATATGAAGACCACAAGCTTTAAGGAGAATACCAACACTGGTTGAAGTTACTCCTTTGCATGATCCTCTCACAACACCACTTGTTACAAGAACGTACTTCATCAACTATCTTCCATAGAAAATCACCAACCAAAGGGATTAAGGGATCAAGAAAAACATATCCAGCTGATAGACTTTTACGGTGGGTCTGGCTGAACACGATTACACGACATGTTATATTTTTTTAAAGAGTCAACTAAAGAACACGTTGTGTCGTTATCGTCAACGGGTAGGTTCAATTTTATATGCTACAACTAGGATGTTATCATGGACTTGTCCGGTCCGTTTACTTCCGTGTCCGTTTATGTCCATCCGTCTATGTCCGCGTTCATTTATGTCCGTTTAAATTTGTAGTCCATTTATGTCCGTCTCTTTAAAAATACTGGACAATAATGTCTATTTATGTCCATGTATGTTGATTTTTAACTATTTTTGTGTTTTCATATTTTAGATGTATTAGGTAAATACATGCATTATGCTGCGGAAATATTGTTTTATTTTTTATTAATTTGTTTTTAATATAGTATATTTTTATTTTAAAATTTTATGTTTTTTATTGTTATAAATTATTATGGAGAGCTTTTATTAGAAATCCTTGAAAATTCTTTTTAATAAAATTTTGTAGTTTTTTTTGGGAAATTTTTTGTCGGATTTTTTTGGCGGGAATATTTTGTTGGAATTTTTTGTGAAGGCCCGTTTATGTCCATTGGACAACTGTCCATAATAACATCCGTAGTTACAACTAAAGAACATGTCTTGTACAGGGTTTTTTCTTTGGTCAATCTTGTAGAGGTTATGACCTAGCGGATGAAACAAAGTGGTATGGGAAATCGTTATGTGAAAAGTGATGAAGAAAACCAGAGTTTTGGATTTGATTCTCTAATAGACTAATACTAAGGTCTCTCTCCATCTTTTCTCCTCCATCGACCACACATGTTCGCATACATCAATCAGAACTGTAAGGAAGCTAAAAAGTTTTTTTTTATAAAATTACTTTATATTTGTTCAAACTGTAAATATTCTCTTGACCATGTTGGTACATGTGAAAAATTGAAAATAATGATATATATTATTTCTATCAAAAGAAAATCCATTAAATTGAAGAAGATCGAGTTTACAAAGTCAGGATACAAAGAAAAATGGAAACTCTAGGATCATTGAAATATATATATACAGATTGAGCATAACACAACATATTCAAAAGTCAAAACCCTAGATCAAAACCTAACACAGAGGAAACTCTCAGTTTATATGATTCATCGATCGAAGTATCAAAACCTAACCTAACACAGCAAATTCAAAACCCTAGATCATGATGCTTAGCTTGCAGAAGAAGAATGTGGAAACTCTCGGATCACCGAAATATTATGGATTCAATGGCTTCAGTAATAAGTAACCTATTATAATAAGGCCGTAGGGAACGCACGAGAGAATCAAAATCATCAATTTCAATCTTATCAAGTGTGAAAAAATGAAGCTGATTGATGAAGAGCAAGATGATCATGATGATGATCAAACTGATTTTATAAGTGTTCACCATTGTTGAAGAGAAGCTTCGGCTTTTAGGGTTTGAGAAAGCTTTTTAGTTTGTTATTTGTGAGAGCGGTTATGTGGATGCGTATATATATATATATATCGAGGATAGACCTTAGTTTATGTTTATCTAGTTTAATTAGGAAAACAATATATGTGTATAATGAAATTGGAATGGGATACTTATTTCAAATACGAATATGATAATTAATTCAACCAAAAAA